GCGTAAACTTTTGGATAACTCACTAATCTCTTGTTGTGGGACACCATAGATGCATATGGTGTCGCTCAATAATAAAAAGCCTTCGTACTTTCAACGAACATTTTCATGACTCCGATCTGGACGCTGGCCTATCTAGTGACGGCTAATAGGTTCCAAGAGAACAGAGATGCGAAAATGTCTTATATGAGGCACTGAAACCAGATAAGACGAACCGGAGATCTGTAAACGACTGCTAACTAGGCAATAAGGGAAAGAGTGCGGAAAAGTAACATTAAAATGGTTATTAAATAATTAACGTGGTCGAGGTGTTTCGACCCCTCTACTTAATTCGCAGCCGTCGATCTAAGAGGATTAGGAGTTGCACTCTGGGCAAAGTGGAAGCGATCGGAATCCGCCTTCATACTCCCACCCACCCCTAATGACCCGGAACCAGTGCGCATGTGTGAGAACCAAAGTGTGAGCTGGAATGTTCATTATTTCTTCTCCAACTTGTCACGATTTCTCCCGCCTACTATACAGTTTGATATGAAATGTGATATATTAGCCTGTAGAAGAATCATCACCTCGCGAGGCACTCGGTATATCATGCAAGTGAATCACAGTAATCAGTGCATTGAAAATCTCTGCACAACTTTGAGGGAGTATATCCTGCAAACCACCGTTCGGACTCTAATACGCTAGCAATTTTGATACCTGGAAAACAACATAACGAAATTGTCGGCAGTAAAAAATGCTTTGTTTCCCCCTCTCATCCGGAATCGAAAGCTCATTGTTCTGTCCCTATCGCGGATGTCTTTTTTCAAATTGTGGTGACTATGGCCCGTGGAACTGTTGGGTTTTGTCTATGCATGTGTACACGTATACAATGCTTGCTCATTTCAATCATTTACATCACAATAAGAAATTCAGAGTTGCGCACAAAGTGGAACGCTTATTTCAATCCGTAGATGTTAGAGTAATGAGCGAAACCGGCAGATCTCTCGTCAGCTTTTGATTTCACAGAGGGATATCACATCATTTGTTTTCGTGACGGTAACGTTATAAGGCGATAGAAATGAGTGATGAATACAGCACAGGTTGGAGCAGGCAGTTCAAAAAACCTACAATGCTACCTCCTGGATAATGCTGCAGGAGTCGAAACCAATACTCTTAGAAGACAATTTAGACATCCCGTAATCCTTCTCGTGTGTTTAAAATTTTCAGTTTACTTGTAAGTTTAAGTATAAGTACCTCAGAAGAACTGAAACAATCCTCTACCAAGACCTGACAGCAGGCTTCCGCTTAGATCAACTCTGTATCATGGGACAGATTGCAAAATATATGATAACCCCAAAAAGGTATTTCACGCCATAAATTACCAGAAGAGTCACTATTTAATACAGTTCGTCTAGGAAACTGCTAGTCGACGTTACAAACCTGGCCTGTTTAGGCAGTTCAATTTCGTTACCAACCTCGTGGTGCCACAGCACGAGTGCAACTCCTCCCCCTTCCTCCTGATCATATGCCCAAATAACACAATTTTTTTTATTTAGGTTAGAAAACTATCAAATAATCCTGACTTCATTATCGGCTACCCTGGGGTCAATTTGGTGGCATGTTTGAATATCTCGAGAAAGGTGCGGGATTGAATTGGAGGGGGAAAAGTGCGTCCGGTTGAATTTTCGCCTCCCAAAAGCATACAGCCGATGTACAAAGACTGAAAATTAATGAACTAGATTCTCAGTCCGATTGTGACGGGGAGCTGGTTTCCCTAATCCATCTAATGACTTACAGGAAGCTTCGTCTCCCTAATATACCTTGAACTCGTGTGCTTTACTTGTATTTCCCATTGTGATAACGNATATATATATATATATATTCATATAATTTTCCATGGAGGTCTACTAGGTCACATTGAGAAACAGCTCTTCTCATCCTTGTTCACGAGAATGAAAATCAATGAAAATGAGTGAATAACATCGTTCATGATTTCGGTAGAGAAAGTTCGAAAATCACCTGTACCAAAGGGGCTAAACTCACTTTCACGTAGTGTTAACATTTCCTGTTCATGACGTTCCTTCACCTCGGCAATCACGGCTACCTCGGTTTCTGCTTCCACATCGGCCAGTCTTTTGGTCAATACAGCGTCATGCTCTTCTTGTAGCATACCGACCAGATCTATGACGCGTGCCCTATATTGTTCGGCCAAAAGTCGCACGATCGTGCTCTTGCCACTAGATGTTGGACCGACGATGACCACACGGAACGGTGGTCGTGGTTGCGGTGGGAGCAAATACGGTCTCGGATTGCGCACAAAGTCGGTCAGATATTCCGGTTTGGACAGACAAAAGATGTGACCTAAAAATCTTTTACAGACAATTTCAAAAGAGAAATGAAGACATTGCGTAGCATGTAAACCATAAATCAAACCATTTACCGCATTACTTGCTATACTTCAGATAGTTAGTTCTACTGATCACTTATTCGATGTTTTGGCTCGAAAATGTAGGTGTACATGTCATTTATCGTTCGATTTCAGTTCGAAAATTTGCACAGATAAACTAATCAAGGCGAAGGTGATATTTCAATGTTTAACAGCCAGAGTACTTAGAAAGAATCACGACAGCGGAAGATTACAAACTAGTTCGAATATTGCTCTGTTGTATCCAGGTTTTGCTCAATTCTTCATCCTACTCTTTTTTTAGAGTGGTACTCAATGTTTGGGAGATCAGTGAGCACGCCCACATAGGAACATATGAAGTCCTACTTTATAAGTTGTACCCAGGTTACTCGCAATATGAGACAAAAATGCTTAGTACCTGGAAAAATTGCCCTCACACTTTGAAAAGGTCACTGTTAACTTGGGATGGAAAGTGACTAACTTTAACCCAGAATTTTGATTACATTCCATCACCTAAATTCAGATCAAGGGTAGTTCTATGCACTTGGAAGTAGAATCATGTGTAGCTTTACTCCGAATAAAACCACTGAGCAAATGATAAGAATTTTAATTTTCCAAGCGAGAATCGACTGCATTCATAATTTACCTCCTCGTTTTGTACCACATGGAATTATTTTTACCAAGTGAATTTTGTATAGTCCAGGAATCGAGTGAATGATCCTGTCTTTATTTGTTCGGGTAGGTGCTTCTAACTTCCATAAAGTCCAGGAAATAAAAATATTATTATTATGATATACGCTGCCCGTATTAGTTTTGCTCAACCATGCAGATACTACTCATTACATTGCTTCAATGTACTGGTCACTGGAGTTTTCACCTCCTTGCATTCATGTCCCTGACGTGCATACACGTGCATACATTTCAGCTCAAGGATTCTCATACTGGCTATGGACTGATGCATGTGCATCGATTAAGTTCTACCCTTACAAGCACACACACACACACAGACACGCACGCACGAGTAAGCGTATCGCACTTCTTCCTTCGGGATGGTTCTGATAGATAGACTTATGGACCGGACGGCTGAACAATGAAAGCTCAAGAGAAACTGACGTGAATTTGCTGACCTAAACATATTGATCCGATTAAAAAGCTCTGCACCTCTTCCTAGACTATACTGACTACAAACCTCATTAGCATAAGCCTGCGGGAATGGAAGTCTTTCTGAAAACATTCACCGGTGATCACTAGGTTACTGCTCATTCTGACTATCGCGAAATAAACTTAGCCGGTGGAGCATCTATGGTCGTTTTGCACTCCTAATGAATTCAGTGTTCAGTCAACTCCCTGTTAACCCTAAGCAGTAAGCTCGCATTCCCCTCCACAGTTTCTACTGCCTGAGGGACCAAATGTTTCTGACTGTGTAATGAATGGTTCTGTCTATCGCCGTGTTGCGATACGAAGCGTGACAACAATATGTCATACGGGCTTGCTATCTGCAGAATAATCGACTCAAAAACAGGCTCTTACAATCCCGTGGACACATACTGGTATTTACAGTTAAAGTTATTGAAACAGTGAGAGTTAGCTTCTTTTCTGCAGCCTGGTCCCTCCAATTAAGTCATTTCATTTATTCTATAACAAAATAGGAAAATAGTTTAGATGGTTTGAACCAACACCCATCGGTATAAGTTCGATAAAACTAGTTATTCATAAAAATAAGACCATCCTACGTGTGTTATAAAATACCCCTAGAATAAGATTATTTTTGGCACTTTCATTGATACTTTACTTCCGATCATTATTTTATCAACCTGATTTCACTTCCTGATTGAGAAAACAAGTGACCTACCCCACTGTCAATTCTGGCCTTCCGTAGGCCAGAATGCCTTGATACAATGCGACTGGACAAAACCTCTGCCAACGACTTCTTTGCCAACGACAACGCGGTCCAGGCATCTTCTTTGTGGCCAGCGCTTGAAATAGTTCTTCCGTCTCCATATCTTCTGGAACCGCTTCCTCTTCTTCAGCACCCGGGGCGGAGAAAAACCGAATCGGAGCCACTGATGGATAGAGATTCATTCCTTGAAGCCGAATCAGAAGATTCTGCATAGTGTTGAAGAAACGACATATGAGGCTAATAAGAACATTGTCGGTCCATTTCGTTGAAGGCGCTCCTGATATCATTGCAGTTGAACTACTTGACTAACGTATTAAGGTCTCATACTTGGAAGTCTGCGATTTGCAGGGCAACTGAACACTGGTTGGGAGGGGCCGGAATTCTTACAACTGCAGCCGAACTTTGTTTGTTTTAGGACGTCACTACTGACTAATACTCAGTAACTGAAACAAGCTTTTCCCGTGATAAATTTGGAAAGAGAAGCCAGTATAGCAACATTGCACGATTTATGTCCTGGACGATTTCGCTGCATCT